GAAGTATAATGTATGTATAAAGTCTGTATGTGATCTGTCAAGGAATGTAAAAAATACAGATGGATGCATGCACAGAAGTGAAATTGGTCAAAACTGGGACTAAAAATAGTTCATTTCCAGATATCACAAAATGCATTTACAGCAATTAAATTACAGGTCCCCAATATGCATGAAGCATGTAGGGAGTTGTGTGAAATAACAACACAGGTCAATGAACCTTGAGACAATAATAGTTGGACGTTTTTAACTCAAAGATATCAGAAGTTAAATAGTTATTAGGACAATGCCCTCAGATAGTTATAAATACCTGGACCTTTGACCCAGTACATAGTAAGCAGACATAACATAGAAATACTTTCACCTAGTTAAATATTTTCAGGATTGTTCCCTGCTCCAAGAAAAACAACTGATTCAACGCACGTAACAAAACTTGGATAAAATCTCTATCACCCAAATAAGAAAACTATTAGTAGCTTTTCTTACTGCATGGAAACCTAGTTCAAATGTTCTACTCCAAAAATAGGGATCATCATTTTCCACTTTGAAAACAAATTCAAAATTTCACACTCAGAAAACACTGTTGAAATTCTCTGCTCCTAGAAACATGCGGCTGATCAGTATGTGGTTTGGTATGATAGAATATGAAGAATCATTTACTCAGGCAGAAGATATAATCCCCATTGCAATACGAGAAGAACAGTGAGAATGGATCAATCATGTCTATACTTAAACGTGGTATGAATATATGGAACAACTGCCAGACACTTTAACAAATGCTTATTTGTTTTTATTGAGTTTCCTAATGTATTATCTCAGCTGACTGACGATACACATACCACAGATTAAATATAGGTAATGAGAACAATGTGTAAAACTTACTCTACTACATAGGGGATGAAATAAACATATTCAAGGATTTATAAGATGTATGTAACTTTCATATCCATATATGGTAATGAAGATCCCATATCCCATGTGCACATCAATCAAACTTATTTCAGACCAATATGGAACACAGAATGAAATAGATTAGTTTAAGGTTGCTTGAGTTCTCTGGTTGCTTAGCTACCATGCACGCGAAGGAGGTTGTCAAATCTGCATGGATTCAGTACTGTTTAGCAGAAAATAATATGCAGTTTTAGGCAGTTTATACCCTGTTTTTATCAACATATATGTTGATTCTGTAATGTAGAAATCAAAATGCTTGGAAATGTTTGATTGTTCAAATGAAAATGAGTGAGGTTATAGTCTTACATTCAACATGTTGTTGCAAATGTCCTAGTCTAGTTTTTAGTGACTATATGAATTATAAACAAAGAAAAATGTATAAAATAATAAAATGTTGCGAGAGTATTCAGCATAACATATGCCACCAACTGAGTAATAAAAAAACATTCTTGAACAAAATTGGTCAAAGTATGGCTGAGAAGTGGAAAAACCAACATGGCCACCAGTCAGTCATTTCGGATCAAATCACAGAGCAAATTGACATGCATCAAAAATGACAATTCATTGTTTAATAATGACATAGTTCCCTTTGGAATTAGGGGAAATGTTATTCATGCTAGAAATAAAGTAATATTCAGAGTTAATAATTTAGAGTGAATAATTGGCTTGTTTATAGTATCAACAGAAATATAAAATACGTGAAATCGACATCAGCAAGAAAATGCTCCAAAAATACTGAGCATATAGCAATGCAATATGGGAGAGAAATTTGCGCTGAATATCACTAAATAGACAAATCCCCAGTCTCACATTGAAAACTCATTAAAAAAAAAATAATTCTCTTAAGATAAAATAATGTTAGGATTCATATAAATAAACATAATGAATTTTTCAGCTCAGCTCACAATTTGTCTCAGATACAATGAAATATTTTTGGCATAGAGACCAATGCAACAAGAAGGAAATTTTGTTTGATGACAATTTTTTTCACTTTTCTGTATTATGACGGAAAAGTCAGTCGACATGCATGTCATCAAGTGGAACTGGACATGTGCATCTCAGGGTATCAAAAGAAGTTTTTGAAACAGTGTTTAATAGAAAAACATTGCAATGACATAAAATCCAAGCTAAACGTGATTTCCAGGTAATACTTCTAAAAGAATATTTTTCCATTCACGGAGAGATCCTGGGTTATGTGTGAATTCAAACGTAAAAACAGGACAAAGGTCATAACATTGTGATGATGTCAACATCACGTGGGATTTGACAAATGCAAAACGGAAAATCATAAGAACACAAAAATAATAAGATTTTGATTTTATAGAGGGCAGGCAAAATGGTCATCAAACCATCAGTCATTGGATTTTAGCCATGCTACATGGCCAAACAAAAAAAATATTACAATTTAGTTAGCACTAAGTAGAAAACATTGTAATATTATGCAAGTATAGGCAAAATAAATTTCAACTGTTAAAATTAAAGCAGAGTCGGTACCAGTCGTTTGCCGCTACGCTAATGTGACTTAGCCTAGGCACCAGAAGGATGCCCGGTGAGCCACTTGTGGTGACATACTGGAGAAACTTGGACATAGCACTGTGTCTGTCAATTGTAATAAGGTGTGAAGATAAATAATGTAATACAAGTAACCTGTACATGTCATAGGAATGAGTCCGATCACCAAGTGTGTTGTTTACTTTCTACTTTGCACTTGCGTTATATGTGAACAGCAAGGGTGTACAAACTAATTTTCAACCACGGTTAACAACCATCTAAATGACATATCAATTTAAAAGGCTATGCAATGTGGTCTGTGAGCACATATATCATTTGTTTAGAAGTTATATTACAGTTGAAAACAAAATTGCCTGATTTTAATCCCAAATGAATGTTGTATGACAGATTGTGACTTGTCCAATTTTTTTTTTCCAGGTGTGTCTTGTTTGTACATTTTTCTTTTTCTTGAATGTTCCAAAATTGTTTACACCAACGCTTGGCATGTAATTTTTTTTCTCTCTTGGTGTTCAGCTTGCAATTTTTGTTTTCAGCAAATATTCCAGCCACCCCTATTATTTTAAATGGTTGACTCCCTAACCACCTGTGTATCGGTATATTCTTCAGGTCGACACAGTACTCCTGTCAATTTGTGTTAGAAGCAGCGGCTTCTATTAAAATGATACAATGCAACAGAGGGGATACGATTTTTATTACAGCATCTACACATTTTTTGTTCTCAATCGTTCTAAATGAATGGATGAGAGCTCTTACAAGATTGTAAATTTCATATTCCCTCACCAACTTGGCAAGGAAATTAACTACCTCAATACTGTTGATGCTGACTGGCATACAAATTTTTTTTTCCCTCGAACCAGCATTTGTGAGTATTCTTTTGATGGCAGGACGAATCACTATCCAAGAGGACCAGCCACATATGCGATCATCTCAAGTAGAGTGTGCATCAATGACACCATCCAGCTCCTTGATTGCATGCGCCAGGGCTCTCTCATTGTCTGCCAAAATTTGCTTGCATGGCTTTTGAACTATCCAACAATCTAATTTTTAAATTATAAATATGTTTACTCTACTCACAATATAACAATATCCCTCAAAACCAGGTGCGTAATCTAATAATTTGCATGGTGCTGGGGAGTCACTAGATCATGTTGCAATAATGACATAAAAATGCTGCAACCGTGACTAAATAACATACCGGCAATTATAATAGGACAGTGTAAAAATGATCAAATAATACTTGAACTATAGCATTATCAAAACTTGTTGTAACAATCGATAAATAAAGTAAACTTGGCCCAATAATGATCGAAAATATTGTTGAAAAAATCTGAAAATAAATATGTCTAAAATAATGAAATAAAATAAAACATGGCAAATAATTGTGTAGTAATAATATAACAACTCATGCATACATGATGTAATAATGATCAGACAACCATGCAATAAAGTCCATTTAATGAAACAAGAATGTAAACATTGCCAAATAATAACATCATAATGATAAAAGAAGATAAGAAATATCGTCATAATGAATTAAAGATATAAATATGATCAAAGAGTAAAATAATAAAGAAAAAACAATAATATTGTAATATGAACATGAGCAAGTATTGATTTTGGTATTTGGCACTAATTTTACAGCATCTAATCAGGTCATGCTGTGTTTCACAAGTGAATTTACTTGTTTTCGCGGTGTTGCGATTGTTGATTATTACTCAGTTGTGATTCTAACAATGCAAACAAGTATAAATTCATTGGATTATTATAAAAAGGACATAAATTCAACTTAGTTTATATTGTGAACGGCGATATGGTAATAACATCTCATTGTCAAAATGGAGTTCATCCATTCACGCTAGCCACGATAAACGAACAAAATGGGACTCTAATATAGAGTATTTATGGTATTTTGCTCGTGCAATGCACTCTTTCCACAGTGGTATGTGGTATTCTGATTGGTAAATTGCACAGTTGCAGGTCAACTTTATGTGTGAGCAAACATGGCCAATCTGAGCCTTGAATAACATCAACAAGGTCTTCTACAACATTCATTCACAATAAAGCTAATTTACAAGTATTAAATAGCAAACAAAAGAAATATAATTTTTTGCATGGAATCATAATAAGCATTGCTTGTAGAAAATCTAAAAGTAAGTTCTTTTTGTGTATACAGTAGGCCATTTTGAATCCAATCATAAAAACAAAACAATGTTTATGAGTAATCAACCATGTTTGATATTTGCACCAAATTTGAAGAAAATCTGCCCAAGTCCAAGAAATGGTTTATTAGTTCACATTACGACAGTAAACAGGCTTTTAGAAAAAAAATTGTTGCCAGTCTGACAAACAACTAAGACAGCATCAAAAAGGAAATCAGTATACATATACATTTTTTAAATACCATGTATGTCTGTCTAGTTACCAACTGGGTAAAAGAAGTAATAGGTTTGAATCAAATCATGAAACAACATTTCCCAGTAGCCCAACAAGTCAAAACAAAGTTATCACAAAGTTATAACACTAGATGGCGCTATACTTACATCAATGTGACACTGATGCTGACATGAATGACCACAATCGCAATGAGTTGTCTCGTTCAATTTGATCCATGCACTGAATATCATCATCACTATCACTTTCAGTTGCCATAGGAACTGGAAATTTCCTCTGCCCAGAAGCAGATGCTAGCATGGGAAGTGTTGGGTGGAAACTGAAAAAAAAGAGTAATGTGAAAGATAGGGTTTGTTTTTTGTATGCACAACTTGACTCACACTTGACATTGACTCTTACCTGACTCCATTTACTGCATCATTATGTGCACAAAACCTGTATGCAGGATAAATCACTGGTTCTCTACTGTCCTCACTCACACTAGAAATCGACGTATCCCAAATTATTATGCTACCATTCTGTGACCCAGAAACAACATATTTACCAGAGCTAGAAAAAAAATACTGTATTAAATACTATTTAAAAATATATTTCACCATGGTAACGGTCATTTAGATCCATAACTCATGACTCAAGGATACCACTATGACAATCAAATTGGGCCACACTTTCAAATTGGGCATATCTCCATTTTTATGACAGAAACTATGACAGAAATTATGAAGAGAACGCATCTAACACATCTTATTCAGGATGGGATATGAAACATAGTTTCTATTATGCATTCTAATTAACTACATATTCAGATATTCCCTGGCTGAATGCAAGCGGAAACAGCTTACACACCACAAGCTCGAAAAAGACATGCGACATCTTACGACATGTACTTCTTGTATCGATAAAAGAAGTCATTGTTTTCATAAAATTAGCCTATTCAATAGGAGACAAAAAAAGACAGTAAACCACTTTCGTTAGCTTTGACGAGAGATTTTATTTTATATTTCCAATCAAATAAAAATTATTTCTATACAGCCATAAAGTTTGTCTTATCTACATGCTAAAGATAGATAAACATATACATGTATCTCAATCCCCTTGATAGTTGTACACTCACCTGTCAATGTCGAAGTACACCCGCTGATTGGTTGTCACTTCACGCACGATGCGATGTACAACCACTCCCGGATTACGGATGTCCCAACATAAAATTTCAGAATCCTGAAAATCATTGATAAGCGGGGAATAAAAATGATGATATTCATGTTGTTGGTTTTTCTATTACAGTATGATACAATTACTTGGTAGAGTGGAACCTGTCTAAAGCAGTGTTATAGAGAATCTGTTTTATGAGTAAACTTAGAGGGTCTGTTGCTCTATGATTAAACTTAGAGGGTATGTTGCTATATGATTAAACTTAGAAGGTCTGTTGCTATATGATTAAACTTAGAATGTCTGTTGCTATATGATTAAACTTAGAATGTCTGTTGCTATATGATTAAACTTAGAAGGTCTG